GCCTGCAAATTCTTTGGTGGGGGGCGGTGAGGGACCTGGATAAGGGCTAGGGGGGCGCTGGCCCAAAAAAGGTTGAGAAACACGGCTCTAAAACATGTAGGACAGTGTGCCTTGAGGACCAGGGTTGGGAGACACTGTATAATCCTAGAGACCAGACTGGTTATGTCACCCTTGGCCCATGCAGAGTCTTTCTAATTGAGACATGGTTTTTATCATAAATGTCCAGTTTTAGATCATGGCACAGCATCTTCATTAAATTCACTTCCACACTTGTTGTTTGTTATTTGACAAAAATAAGACGGGCCTTGGTGTTCTTCTTGTTCAGAATGTATTTATCCATTTTTTTTACTCTTGGTTGTTTGCATAAACATTTTAACGCCATCCAGTGTGAACAGTCTGTGGAGCTGAAGTGAGTCTTTCTAGGAAGACAGACTCCATCAGCCAGAAATAGCACGTCACAGTAATTAGCTTAACGCACATGTAAGCAGCATAAGGAGAAGCAACTGAAACCTGCAACTCCGAACCACAGTGCAACAATCAGAGCTGCGATCACAATGTTGCAACACTTGTTTTGTCAATTGCCATTCCTTCTTCCTCCAGCACAAAGAATGTGAGTTTTTGACAAACTGATGTAAAAGGTACATGAAATGTGACATAGTCATTCAGATTAAGGTTACAGTTTATTTGGTTTGTCAGACTGTCACAAAACAATCACATAATGAACACATAAAGGAAAATAAATGTGATTTTAAAATTCTCTTCATTCAGCCAAAAAGTTTGTTTCTGACACATGAGACATAAATCAAAGAAAAACTCATTGGCATTACAATAACGCTTTGAAGGCCTCTTTTCCATCATGCTAATTTTTATCCACCTCCACAGATTCTCAACCAAATTTACTCTGGCAGGATTACTTAAAAGTTGTCATAGCACTTTAAGTCCTGTTGATAAAAGTTAGTTTTAATTTAAATCTGCAGGGAGCATGAATCATTTTCAAAACTTTTGTCCAAGATCATCTAAACTTTAAATGTATGTTCATCAGAGTTGCATAGTAACTAGTTACATTTACTTAACTACATTAACTTGAGTAGCCTTTTTGGAAAAAAATAACTTTTAGGAGTATTTTCTCTAGTCTGTACTTTTTACTTTTACTTGAGTAATTTCAGTATGAAGTATCTCTTACTTGAGTAAAATGTCTGGATTCTCTACCTTCTGAATGAAAACAAACATGTTCCAAAATAAAGTCACACAACTGCAGTTTCTGTTAAAGTTTCATAATTTTATTGAAAGAAAATTATTTGGAAACATTTTCTCTTGTTTAATTTTATTTATTTATTGTTCCTTATATTAATTATTGTCATTTTCGCTCTTAAAATACCAACATTTACTTGAGAAATTTCTTGGACTAGTACTTTTTACTTTAACTTAAGTAAAATATGTTTAGTGCTGCTCTTAAGTATATTTTTGTGTACTTTACCCACCTCTAATGTTTATTTTGTATGTTTTTATTCTTTTACATTCGTTTTACGAAATGAATATTTGAGACAACATGGAGTCCCTTTGGGATGCTGGCTCCAAAGAGTTGTCCTCCCTCTTTTATCAGCGCCAATACTTCATCAAATTGCTAAAATGAGAAAATATTCTGTTTTAATCCCTCCAGTTTCCAGAGATTATGACATATGGTGGCCCAAACACCAGATTTACTTTTTACATCCAGTGAAACAAATGGCGCATTGTGTTTTATCGTGAGGATTACAGGAGACTCCTTTATTTCTCCAGAGCAGCCTACGCAATGCAAATGTTTTGAGGAGCTCAGACACAAAGAGTTGTTCATCATGTTTATTGCTTTGCGCACTGATGGCTTGCAGCGCAGACGGTGCGCAGATCCACCAGCCGCTTTCTGCGCGGCTGAACATCCCACCCCTCCTCCTCCTCTTTCTTCTTAACGGCCGCAACCATCTGCCGCCTCTTTTTGTAATTTCTAACCCAGCAGATTATTTCCCTCAGACGTCTACTTGCACTTGACACGACCCAAACATCGCTTCCCTCACGGAGAGTAGCTGCGCAAAGGAGCGGGAACAGAGGCAGCCCGCACCGCGCAGGAGTTGGACCGGGGTGCCGCGTACATGCAACCCGACAGCGGAGGTTCATAAAGACGGAGCGGATTTGAATTAAGGACCGGATAACAAGCAGCAACTCTGCAACCTTCGCTTAGGGAGGGAGGGAGCGAGGGAGGCAACTGTTTAGCAGATCTTGGAAACCCTGGGTGAGGTGAGGGGAGGGAGGGAGGAGAATGAGCTATTCTTGTACCAGCAGAGGCAATAGCCAGGACCCATCAAACGCTAATCCAGCCAGAACCACCGGAGGCACCGACGGCGGCACGGACAGCACCGGCAACGGCAGCCCGAAGCAAACGGCGGTGATGAAAGTGAAGAAAGGCTGCAACTCGACCGAGGTGGAGGTCCCGGTGACCACGGAGGAGGAGCTGCTGGGGAGGACGGTGATCACTCCGGAGGATGTTCTGGGCTTGCAGAAGATCACAGAGCGTAAGTTCACGGCTGCTGGTGCGCGGGGAAGGGAGGACAAAGGTGCTGGAAATGTGTCAGATCCCGTATGAGTCATGCATCACGTCATTGTTGTGTCCTCTTATTTATGTAATGTATAGGCCCTGTTGAATCATATGAGAAAATATCTCAGACTGAACCGGCTCTGCTCCGTTGACTCACATCAAACACACTTTGTGAATGTTGGAGCAGAAAATGTAGAAGTCAAGGTTAGCTCTCACTGGAGATGTTAGGTTCAAAAGTACAGGAGTAATCACACAGGTAACCATTATTTATACATGCAGTGTTTTTTAAGTCTGTTAATTAACCTGCTTACTTTTTATAACATAATCAGTGTACATGATCTGCATTTTATGCAATTATTTTACTTGAGTACAAAAATTTTACTCAAGCAAGTGTAGTACTACTTCAGCATATTTTACTCAAGTAAAAAGTCTACTCAAGTACTGATCAAATTTATCATTTAATATTTAAAAATTACATCACCATATGGACCAAAATATAAAGTTAAATGGATATTTTGGTATTTTCAGGACAAAAATGACGATAATTCATATAAGTAACAAAAACTAGGCAAAAGAACATTTTCAAAATAAGTTTATTTCAATTAAAAAACTGATGTAACTTTAGCAAAAACTTCAGGTGTGAGTCTGTATTTTTAGTTAAAATTTGTTTGTTTTAGTGGGTAGAAAATCCAGAAATTTCACTCAAGTAAGAGTAGAGATACCTCATAATAAAATTACTCAAATAAAAGTGTAAAAAAATAATCCTAAAAGTCTTTTTTCCCCCAAAAGTTAGTGAAGTAAATGTAACTAGTTTTGATTTTATCAAAACTACCAACTTTGATTTTATGATTTTATGAGAGACCAATATCTACAGAAACTTGATAAATCTTTATTTGTAATTAGGACTCCACAATATAAAGACAATTAATCACAAAGCTTTTATCTGATATTCCAATGAGAATACTGACGATCAATAACAAACATTTTTTTCAAGCTTTTTAAATTCAATCACTAAAAATATGACGATAAAATAAACGTTAAGAGTCGTTATTGGTTATATAGTGAATCTCAAATCTTTTGCAGCCTCTCAGGTTTTCTTTCTTTGATTTTATCTTATTGACCTTCATCCATATAAACTCTGAGCTTCCCTGTAAAGAAATGTTTTCCCACAGCATGATACTGCCACCCCCATGTCTTACAGAAAGGATCAGGGAAACTGGCTTGACTTCCTGTTTATTTATTTATTTATTTATTTTTATTTTCAATCAAATTTGTCTGGATGCATTGAGCTTCGCATGTAGCTTCTCCCATAAGTCACAGTTACAACAAAGAACCAGTCAGACTTGATTAGAGCAATAAGCTGTGGTTAGCATTAACGTGCTGCACATTATAGAAATGAACATTGTTGTTAGTTTTCTTTCACAAAGAGCATTTTCAAACGACAGGAGAGCCTTTGTCTTTCTTGTTCGTCTTAATCAGTAATCTATTAGATGTTCAAAGCTTATTGTTTTATAATCTACTGTGTTGTTCCTGTTCTGTATCATGCTGTTTGTTCACTAATGCTTTCTGACTAACCTCTGAGGCCTTCATTAAACAGCTGACTTTATGCTGAAATTAAATTACACATACAGTTAAATGCATGCTACACTTTTCAGATTATTTTTTGGCTAAAAAAATGAAAACCATGTTGAATTTTCTTCAACTTCACAAAAATGTGCAGCTTTTCCTATACAGGAAAATCTGCTGAAGTGTGACTGTAACGTGACAAAATGAGCTTGAATTCTGCAAGAGGAACAAAAAGAGGCATAATCAAATCCATCCAGTCATTAACTTTGCAGCGATTTTTCATCCACAGCAAGCATGTGGCGACAGTGGAGATAAAAAACTTCAAATTCAGAATTTAAGTGCGTTGGACCTCCTGACCAGTAGGGGGACCTAAGTGGCTGTAATGTTGGATTTTGTTTTTATCTGAATTGCTTTGGTACATTTTAATATTTGATGCTTCTCTTTTTCTATTTGACAGCTAAATAATAAAAAGTGGATTGTTTTTCAAAAACATAAACAATGTAGAAATTTTAAATTGGAATGAATGGATGAATTCACCATCAGCTTCTTCCTGTACATTAGATAACCTGCTTACATTTTAAACATTCTTATTCATCCTGGTTTCTCATCTGATTTTATAAATGTAGTTTTTTAATTATGTCACCAGGAAGCTGGTAGAAAGCTCTTATGTAGACGAGAACACCTACATGTAAGTTAGCTAACAGGTGGCAGAAGGACATTTGACTATTTAAAGGCTGCTTACACAACCTGGTTACAGAGTGTTATAACATACAAACACACTGGAGGACTTGCTTGCACCTTTTTTAACAGGCAATTGGAAGTTTAGACTCCATAACACTGCTGACGTTTTAATTGAAATTTAATATTTTCATCAAATAATTGTACATGTAAGAGATGACGCAAGGAGTTCTTGTCTTCATCTTTTTTCTTTACATATTTACAGACTAAGCAGGAGGATAAGTTTCTGATTAATCCTCTTTGTTTCACTTTAGCATAATCAATCAATCAATCAATCAATCAAGTTTGTTTGTATTATTGGCCATTTTAACAACAGGCACAGTTGGGTACTAACCAATTACATTTACTTGAGTAACATTTTTGAGAAAATGCTCTTTTAGGAGTATTTTTACTTTGCTGTATTTTTTACTTTTACGTGAGTAAAAATATATTGAAGTGCTATAGCTGAGTATAATTTTTGAGTCCACCTCTGGAAACAAGGCAGTTCAAAAACACAAAAATAAAAAGTAATTAAAACATAATACAGTCACCAATTGAGAAATCAATAACAAATATTACATCCTCTCGATTTCGATCATCAAATATGTTGGTTAATATTCCATTTACTATTATTTATGTGTGTTTTCAGTCTTGATTTAAAAGATCTCAGTGTTTCGGTTGTTTTGCAGTTTTCTAATAATAGCCACAGCTTACTCAGCTTGTCTTTACTCAAAGCCAAAATGTCTGGTATCTTCTGTAAGCTGTCTAGTGTCACTAAAACAGCAGCACCTGTGAGAAAAGCCAACCCATCAAATTTAAACCGTATTAGTCTTAAAAACTCTCACTTTCCTGTTGTCATCGCTCAGAAGCCAGAGGAGGCGTGTGAGAATCACCACGGCAACGCGGATACACGCTTGAATCACTACAGCAACGTGAAGCATCTCCCCACTGGTTACAGCCAGCAGAGCATGCATCTCTGTTCTCCCACACACTTCCTGTTTTCTCCCCCCGTTTCACAGCGGAGCGGCTCGCTGATGAAACGGAGACGGACCCCCATCACACACGCTTTGACATCAGGACTGGCGGTTTGACCAGGCAGGAAGCAAACCTGAGCTCTCTCCAGAGGAGCCGCTGAAGCCGCTCTCCTGTTTTGTCTGCTCCTGTTTTGTTGCTGCCACGAATCCTCAAGTGGCTGAAATTGAGTCCCTCTCTGAAGCGGCACGATGGAAGCTGAGAGAGGACAGAAAATAATCCTGAACCACAGAAATGTGTTTCAGCCACGTTCAGCCTGAAAATCTCACCAAGTATTTTTGGCCTAGTTTCTCGCCCAAATACACTTGAATAAAGACAAAACTAACTTACATGCAATTTTTTTTAATTTACTCAGTTATAATAAGTTGTTTTAAGTAAATAATTCCTGAATATTGGCTCGTTCCACTGGTAGATTATTTCACTTACAACATGGGAAAAATGCCTTGTTATAAGTGAAATATTCTGCCACATACTTTTTAAAAATCAATATTAAGGAATAATTTACTTAACACAAGCTCCTGTAAGGTATGTTTATCTTATTTCAAGTGTAATAAGATTTTTCACTATAAACTAAACCAAAAATACTTGGTAAGATTTTGTGTCCCTTTGAATTAAAACTCAAAAATACTTTATTGATCCCAAAGGGAAATTAAATGTTATTGTAGTTATAGTAGACACTGATGGCTGTTGGCAGGAAAGATCTCTTGTAGCAGTCTGTATCACAGCGAATCTGAAGAAGCCTCTGACTGAACATATTCTGAAAAAGCTTTCAGCTTCTATATATGCGTCTCCCTCCTGATCCATTTAGTAACTAAGTCAAGATTTAGGAATTAGATGGTACTGGGTTCCTGGTTTGTAGATAGTTTGATCAGAATATTTTTAACTCCACGTTACATTTTAAAGCTGATGCATCATGAAAAGACCAGTTCTGCTGTTTGTGTCTTTTCCAATGTATTTGTTGTTTTCCTTTGAGATAACAACAAATGTATTACACAAATGAGCGTTAGTTAGAGCAGAAATCAATTTTCTGATGACTCAGTGTCATCCAATTTGCATGATGCCAGTCCATTTATACATCCTACTTCTGTATTTCCAGCTTTGAATATTTTTAAAGACGTTGCCCTCCTTCCAATTGATTTGTTATCAGATGTTTTCCAAAGAACGCAGACGAAAGGTTTTGTATTATCGTTATGCATGCTGAGACAGAGCTGTACATTATTGGGTATACATATCTGTCGGGTTGGCACAAGCAGTGCCATCATCGTGGGACGGGTTCAGCTGACCTGTGACAGAACAAAGCGGCTTAAACAGGGACACCTCTTTGTGCTGAAGCGTCCATCTGTCCATTTTCTTTAGCTTCCTAATCTTTGCAGGGTCTGGAGTCTGTCTCCAAATGTCAGAGGGTGAGCCCAAATGAATTCCCAAAAGTAATTAGAGCGGCCAATTAAGCACCTAAGATTAGGGCTGAGTGATTTTATAAAGATATATATTATACAGTAATGTTGGTGAATGTTGTTA